GGGGGGGGGGGGGGGGGGGGGGGGGGGGGGGGGGTTGTTACCTGGAAGATGAAGCTGCTCCAGTTGCTGGGATCCATGGCGGAGGGAGGAGGGAGGCGGCTCGCGCTCACCCCGGGGCGGGAGGAGGCGGCGGTGGGGGAGGGGGGGCCCGGGGAGGAGGCGCGCGGGGAGGGAGGGGGGAGGAGGGTGGGGGAGCGGAGCACACTGCGCGCCGGAGGGCGGGCGGGGGGCGCGAGGACACACAGGAGGCTGGGGCGGGCGCGAGCGCGAGTGCGCGCCGGGCCAGCGGGAGGGGGAGGCGTCGGAGGGACTCTGGGGGGAGGAGGGACGGGGGAGCCACCCAGCCGCCCGAGTCGCCCCGAGCGCAAGACCCCCGAGCCGGTCGCTGATTGGCTGGCGCTGGCGCAGGTGGTGGGCGCGCGGGAGACTAGGCGGCTTCTCTTCCCCAACTTGAACGATTCCACCCCCCACTTCCCTCCGCCAGCGGCCGTTATTTCGCGCGCACGCGCACACAACGCGGACGTCGTCGCGGAGCGGGAGACCAGGGAGCGCGCCCAGGGACTTGCATCGGGGCGGGCCGAAGCTGGAAGCGCGTGCCCGCCTAACGGTCGCAGGGCTGAGCGCTCGCTTCAGCTTTTTGATTCTTCCAGGCCACCGTTCCCTCCCCATTCCAGTGGTTTATTTACAATCTTGGACTAGTTTAGGGGTTTCCCCAAGATGGCGCCCTGATAAGTGTCCCGAAGCGCTTGATCTTGATCCCCGGGGTAGCTGTGGCTCCCGCTCTTAGCCCCACATTCCCAGAAAACAGGCTCAAACATGGAATAAAAACTATATTTAAACAACACGTCATTATACAAGGGTTTGAAAGAAAAAGGCAGTGTTTTAAGAGGTGGTGGTCAGGAGGGATCAGTGCTGGGCTGCAGCCAAGCTCAAGAGGTTCGCCTGTAAGGAAGAGGAAAGTGCGTTAACTTGGTAGCCTAAGGGGGGCCCCGGGTAGGGGGCCGCATGCAGGGAAAGGGCGGCGGTGGTCTTACCTTCAATAAGGACTCCACCTGCTTCCCAGAGATGCCTTCCACCAGTTCCAAGTCCTCCACCTGGCGGGGCAGGGGCAATAGGAAGGAGGTGGGCCAAGACCTGGGACACCCCACTCCCACCTGTCCTCCTAGGCTGTTACCTCACGATAGGGGCCATGAAGCTTCCTCCAGCCCACGATGAGTTGGGCCTTCTTCTGGCCAATGTGATGCAGGCTGCGCAGATCCTGAAGCGAACCTTCATTTAGCAAATCCAGTAATTTTTTTCGGCCATGTGCCAGTAACTCTGGGCTGATCTGTAGCTCCCAGCAGTCCTCAGCCTTTTCCACAGCCTCTGACGCATTTGATGGCTCCAGCTATGATGTAACAGAAACAGCAGCAAAGGCCAGTGGATGATTGTGCCAAGACCAGGCGCCTAACCCACCTTCTCCAGCCTCTTCCCTCTGGCCACTAATTTTGTTGGGCTTTCTCAGTTACTGCGAAGATGCAACGAATGAATGAATGTACACATCAAGTCTGACTAGTATGAGTATAGCTCAGTGGTGGAGCACCTGTCTACCATGCTTGAGGACTGGGGTTCAATCTCGAGTACAAGAGGAAAGAAAAACAGTAACAAAAGGGGGGAGGGCAACTTGGCTACTCATGCTCATTTTGTGTGATTAGAACTTTATGTCACTTTCCCTAAATGGGCTCTACAGTTCACAAAGGGCAGGAGCCAGGCTACACACTAGATCCAGCCAGCAGCCAATCCAAGCGCTGGGGGATCAAGAAGGAAACTGGATACACCCACATTCCATGCAAAATGTTAAGGGACCACCATATGCAAAAGGTTTCCAGCTAGAAAACTGGGGGTGGGGCAGCATGGGGCTCACCTTCCTTTTGTGGCCTCTCTTCAGAATGTGGATATCCGTGCTTGAAGATGCTGCCTGCTTCTGAACTGAAAGCAAGAATTAAGAACTGGTCAGGGGCACAAGTGACCTCCTTCCTTCCCTCTCTTTCTGGTAACCATCTGCTTCTCCCTTGTCCAATTTCCTCAGTTTCCCTCCACCCTTGAGCTTTTGTCTGTTTCCACACGACTGTGCCTCGCCCTCGTGTGCACCTCCAAATCCACCCACTACCCCACTGTCTTGACCGCCTAGGACAAGAATCCAGGGCTCCTTCGCATCCAGTGAGAGGATGAGTGCCACAGGATGCGTATAGTTCACATCTGCTTTTCAGCTGGTTCTTCTAGGACCCTGAAACTAAACTTACTGAGTTGTAGGGGCATCACCACAGCCTTTTTCAAGGGTTTCGTGCTGGCCCTGGGAAGAGGCTGGCGAACCATCAGAGCATTCTCTTTCCCCTTTGAATCCAGTGCCTCCTGGGCCAGCACTTTGGCCTCCAGTTCTTTTTGCTTCATCTTAAGCCTCTGGTGGAAGGAATCATGGAGAGATGAGACTCAGCTCTAGCCCCAAACCAGTGGATTAGGAAAGTGAGTGGTGGAAAAGGTCCAAAAGGACAGAGGCACGACCAGTAGGAGACTGGTCTGCAATGTTTTTTTCTTCCCCTCTCCCCCCTTTTCTTTTTCCTTTTTTTTTTTTTTTTTTTTGTTTGTTTGTTTTGTTTTTCAAGACAAGCTGTGAAACTGGCTGTCCTGGAACTCCCTCTGTAGAGCAGGCTGGCCTCAAACTCACAGAGAGATCTTCACTCACAGAGAGAACCACCTGCCTCTAGGCAGGTTATACATTTTTATTTATTTGTGTGGGTGTTTTCCCTGCGCATACATCTGTGTACCATGTGTGTGCCTGATGCTTTATAGGTCAGAAGACATGGTTGGATCCTCTGGAACTGGAGTTACAGGCAGTAGTGAGCCGCCATATAGTTGCTAGGAATTGAGCCAGTATTCCTGACTGCTGAGTCATGTCTGTAGCCCTGCATAATATTTTTACTATTTCCTTACATGTATGCTGCATGTCTTTGTATGTGCCCAAAGACTTCAGAGGTGTCGGCTCCCAGAAGTTCCAGGCAGTTATAAGCTGCCTGAGGTGGTGCTGGAAACTGAATTAGTGTCCTCTGTATGAACAATATGTGCTCTTAACTACTGAGCTTTTTAAGAGCTTTTTAATTTTTCTTACATTAATTACAGTTTATTCACATGGCATCCCAGCCGTAGCTCCCTCCCTCAGGTAATGTATTTTTAATCTGAATGCCTTTCCCTTCTTGTCTCTATTGTTTCTTAGGCTTCAGTCATATTAAGCAGGACCTAGAAAGATGGCTCAGTAGTTGAGAGCACTGCTGCTTTTCCAGAGAACCCAGGTTTGATTTCCACACCACCACGGCAGCTCACAACTACCTCTTAACTCCAGACCCAAGATGTCCAACACCCTAGTCTGCTCTCTGAGGACATGGGGTAGTTACACATGCCAGCATAAAGCCCATATACATAAAAATAAATACATCTTTTAAAAAATATTCAAGCAGGGGCTGGAGAAATGGCTCAACAAGTAAGGGCACTGAATACTCTCCAGAGGACCCAGGTTCAAATCTCAGCACCCTCATGGCAGCTCACAACTGTCTAACTCCAAGATCTGACACTCACACATACATACATACATACATACATACATACATACATACATACATACA